TTTTTTTTTTTTTTTTGCGTTTTCGTTACTCCAAGTATTATTCTTGTATTAGCTCATGCGGCGTGGACCACGGCCATCCCGCCTCCACCACATCACATTGTTCACGGGAAGAAGATCGCCATCACGGAGGGTATGGTTGCCGGCCATCGGCGAGGGAGGGGGTATTCTCGTCAATTCCTCCTACCACATTGGCCACACGTCATCCATCCCGCTCCATCCCCAAGTAATCATGGTTCACAGTGCATGGTCGTAGCTTTGTTCATTTACGATGTCTGACTGGAGCTATTTCCAAACCAATATAACTAAAAATTGGTGTAAAATTAAAAAATAAAAATTACGGAGTACATATTAAAAAATTACACCAAAAGTTGTACAAAATGAGTGGTGGCAAGATTATTTTATTTTATCAAATAATCGATGAAAATGCATAAAGAAAGTGAAGTTAGTTGGACTTGTGACTAGTAACCAATAGTCTTTTTTGGAATGGACGGAGTATTATTTTGATGAAATGTATTTTTATTATTATAAATCATCAATTCTTATTTTTTTTTTGCAAAAAAATTCAATGTATTGCAATTAAATTTCTACTTAAAATATCAACCTGTAAATTACTAGTGCTAATAAACTGCCTATAGGAGAGCGTGCGCTACTTAATGTGATTGAATTATAAGTTTCCGCTCTTTAAGGGCATTTCTTTGCTTTGTTCCATTTATCACATCCATTGTCCCATTGATTTATTGATTTAACATTGAAACAATCTTTATGTGCATTATACCTAGTATACTTTTCTTATTAAATTCCATTTTTTTTTGTAACAGACATTTCTTCCATTCCTTTTAATACATACTTTCTCTAGTTCTCTCATCTATAAAGACTTCAATTAAATATTTTTCACTTTTCAATATTTTCTAAAACTCAATAAAGATAAACTACCTTCAAAATGTAGAAATTAAAACTTTGTTTGATTCAAGGAATTAGGAAAGAAAGAATTTTTTTCTCATTTTCCTCACAAAAACGGGAGAAATTTAGTTTTTGCAGTACTTAGTACATTTTGCCTTCTTATTTTCTTTTCTGTGTTCACTTCTTTTCTTTTTCAATATGATTATTAATCGTATTGAAATATTGTTAAAACGACATTAATGAAATATAATTTGATCATTGGCTGGCGTCACACGCTCGAAGTTGCACTTTTAAAAAAACAAACAAGGAATGTTTAGATGTAGTTAAAGCACCGTAAATCCAACGTATGAAATGAATTTTTTTTAAAAACAAAATTAGCATTCCTTAAACATTAATATGCACGTTTAACAAACAAAATGAACATTTAAACAAAAGAAGCAAATATAGAATAAACAAAACAACTTAACAAGAGTTATTTATGGCAATAATATAATGACCCTATCGTCCAAAACAAAACATTCAAGTTAAGTACTCCATCAAAATACTCAGTGTGACCAAACATTCCTTCTTTT